AATAATAAAAAAAAATGATTGCTCACTTCTGTACTTACCCTCAAATAACAATAAGGATATGCCTCAGACTTCTGGGCCATATGCTTGGTGTACATGAAGCACATTTACCAGGTTACATCTGACTATTTCAGGCATGACTCAAGTCTATTCACAGGTCAACAGCTCACGCTGTCTGAGTGGAAGTACTGATCCTAGTTGTTTAAAACAGGAAGTGTGTGATATTTGGCTCTTGAGTGGAAAAGATTCTGGAATCTAGCACACGATTCATGGGTTTTTGGTTTTGATGTATGCTGTGTGATGTATGCTTTCCCTCCATTTCCACTAATTTCAGGCGTGTTCGATAATATGGCTAGAAAAGACTTGACTTATACAGGTAGTTCCTGCTTGAGCTGGACAGGTTTGATTCTCAGATCAAATGCTGCTGTCCTCCGCTTATCATTATATCAGTCATCTATTATACTCACGGTTCTGGAAGAACTGTTACCATAGACATGGTCTGATATGCCACCAAACTTAGCCTCCCTGTTTTTCACAGCCTGGATGATATCTGGATGTTCTCAATAGAGAACATTCTTTAGACGTACAGAACATTCTTCTTCAGAAAGGGCTAAATACTAGGGATCTAAGCGACTAGTCGAGTGACTACTTGACTACTGCCCCCTCCCCGCCGTCTCTGTATCGGAGGCAGTAGAGGTGGGGGGAGCTGGTTTAAAAGCTGGTTTCCCCCCAGCACTGTTTCCGCAGTGGCGAGGCAGGGCAGGGGAGGCAGAACTGCAATAATTCTGGAGCAGGCGCAAGCCGGGACTGCTTACGCCGGTTCTGGGAGCTAACTCCGCTGCGGCTCTGCACTTTAAATGCAGTAAGACGAGCGTGTCTCATTATACTTAAACTGCAGAGCCATAATGGCAATAGCAAGCACCCCCTTCTTAACAACTAATCAAGTAGTCGATGGAACAGGGCCAGCCCACAATATTTTGGCACCTGAGGTGGGGAGCTCAAATAACGCCCTATGCCCCCTTTCTTGGGCCAAAAATTTGAAAGGTCTCAATTCTGCCTTCTTCCTGTTTTACTCCTCTTATGGTACTGCTCTGCTACCTACATATGCACCAGCAGCAGACACAATTTTCTACACTCTGGGTCCTAGTGGCGTGTCCCCACAATCTGGCACCTGAGGCAGCCACCTCCTTTCGCCTCATGGTAAGGCCAGACCTGCGATAGAAATTCCTTTGACTACTCAGTTAGCCAGTTAACTGTTACTTAAATCCTTACTAAATACACTGCCAAATGCAAACATTTTTCTTTATGGGCAAGGTCTGAAGATTACACTCCATCTCAGTGTTCAATTCCAATGATGTTAGATTACCTGTGTGGCAGTGATAATTTGTATTTCATCCTCTCATAAATCAGTCAATATATTTAAGGGCTTGTTAATATTTCTGCCCTCTCCTGTGAGAGAGTGCTTCAACATGGGCCTTAAATTTAGTGCTTTTTTCATTTCTGGATGTCCCCACTGAACCTCTATCCAATTGTACAATTCATCTACTAACAGTGAAGTTAACATTCCTGATGCCAGTTAACATCAGCTGCTAGAATAAGTATATTTCAACCCTTGTGGATTAATCTTCTATATACATTTTTTCACATGGGTAGAGTAACTGAGATTGCTTCCATCTCTTATTTCCAAAGTACTGTCAGATTTTCATGTAAATCAGTTCATGCGTTTGCTAGCTTTTCCCCACAGAATCTTCATTCTTCACCTGCTGAATCGAAATTCTGTATTTTAGATGTGAGTTCCCTATTCCATTGCCTAGATAGCACTAGATCTTTTCATAAACATCTAAAGACTTTTAATTGCTTAAAATAAACATCTCATTTTATTTATTATATCACAAAGACTTTCAAAATGGGTATCAGTCTGTATTAGCACTATTTATGATATTAACAAGATGAGACACCTGTCAAGCATTTTTGCTGCTCCAACAAAGAGAGCACACTTAAGTCACACTTAGGTTTTAATATAGGAAATATATAGAACAGCTACCAGGTCTTCAGATCACACATTTGCAAAACATTATTAATTGAAGTTACTTGCTTCAAGATTTGACACCTATTTTGGAAGAGCTATTTTGTAGTTTCTTTTTAGGGGAGTCCTAACTCTCACTTCTTGAAGATAACAGCTTTTTTAAAGAGGGATTTTGTAAAAATTTCCTTTTTCATCTCAGCATGACATGCATTCTGTGCTAAAAATATGAAGGTGCCACCAGGTGTTTGTGGACTCGGTATTTAAGACTTTGGGCAAGATCTTTGAAGATAGCATTGTATGCTGTCTTAAGCCTCAGGTCAACTCTGTCTCATTTTGGGAGAACAAAGCCCAACAGTAAGAAACCTTTAGTGTTAGTATCTTCAAATAACTTGGAAATAATATGGAAGTTGTTAGAAATAGTTTAAGCGTAATCTATAAAATGGACTTCACATAGGGTTGCCAGATGGTTTCAACAAAACCGGACACCTGGCAACCTTAACTTCATATTGTAGTCTGGATAGATTCTGCATCCTTCAGTCCCTGTGATGTAACTTTAAGTATGTCTCGACAGGTGATCTGGAATGTTCTGACAAACTGCCTTCAGGCAGGTTTGCTCGGCTGGCGTGCATCCTGGGAATATGATCCCTATTTGGTGGTTATTTCTGGAGGACTTGTGGTACCTGGAGTTCCATAATTCTTTCCTTGAGGCTTATCAGGCAGGCCAAGTCCTTCCCAAACTCACTTCATCCACCGTTACTGTGCTACAGCCTGCCATCTCCAACCAGGGATATAAGTGCGACTAGCCTTTCACATAGATTAGTTAAAAAAGAAAAAAAAATCCTAACTTGAATTTCTCTTCAGTGTGGTAACACTGCACTATTAATACTAAGTGTTCCTCAGCAAGTGGCTAAAGCTCCAGACATGCTTTGGAATACTGCCAAAGCTTTGAATAGAAGTAGCAGGCTATTATCAAGAGAGTATCATGGTAACAGGAGGTGGCTCTTGGAAAACTGATAAATCTGAAGAGTTGCATGTAAACTAGTAATTTTTTGGAATTTTACCTGTATCGGGAGAGACAATGTACAAATACAGTGCCTCATACAATTTTAATACACTCTACGGGCCATTAAGAATCACAAAGCTCATATTTTAGCAGCAGTTAAATTTTCTTTAATCTGCCAAGCGAAATAGCAAGGCAGGGTGGATGAGGTAATAGCTTTTATTGGACTCACTTCTATTGGTGGAAGAGACAAGTTTTTAAGCTCTGTGTAAGCATGAAAGCAAGTTTCTTTCACCACAGGCAGTTGGGCCAATAAATGCTATTACCTCATACACCTTTTCTCTCTCTTTTGTCTGGGACTAACACAATTACAGTACTGCAAAAAGGCTAAATAGATTGTTAACTCTGCTGATAACTTTTCTCTGAAACACACTTTTTCAGTTCCTTTTTTAAAAATGGCAACTTTTGTTTGCCATGTAGTTACTTGTATAGTAAGGATCACAAATATGCTGAACACTCATCATTAAAATGCAGTGTGACTTTTATTTTACAATTGTACTGTTACATTTTAAGAAAAAGGTATATATGAGAGAAATGTTTTTAGCCTCCAGATTAAGTAGTTATCAATGGTAAATTAGTGGCTGTGAGTTTTCAGCTCTGTTTTCCATAGGAAAAAAGCATATTGAACACAGGATTAGGCCTCAGCAACTGATTATTAAAACATAAATGTATAATAGGCAAGAATGTTCCATGAATAATTGCTCTCACATATTTACTGGATTTCTTTCTAGTATTGAGAAAGTCTTATTGCTAAATGGTGAAATAGTTTTGTATAAAGTTACTGTAAAATGTGCCAAGCTGCAATAATGTCCAGGTCTTATTGCGTGAAGTTTTTTTTTTTTTTTTTTTTTTTTTTTTTGGAAAGCATAGCTAATTAGGGAGTGAATTAGTCAAAAATATGCACTTAAAATATAAATGTGAACTTTCTGAATATTTTCCTCAATTTGAGAAACTGGTGGGTTAGCAGTACAGTCTGCAGAAGGAAAAAAATGGATGCAAGTTACAGCTACATTTGCACAAGAAATTTAACTTCAGTTGTGCGTTTCTCCAACTAATATATTTTCAAAATCCAAAAGTTGAGTGTTTCTAACATATGGCTGTTTTTTAGTCTTGCAGGTTATGTTGAAGCTCTAGCTTCTAGAATGGGCCTGTCAATTCCTGATCTGACTCCCAAGCAAGCTGATATGTGGCAAACACGTCTCAGTGCACACGTGGTAAATATGCTTATGAATAGTTCGGGTGTAATTTTCATAGGTCATCGGCAGGAATGGGATGAATCCAAATTTTTTCTCTTTTGCCAAATATAATATTTCCTTTTGGTATTTGTTAAATAATAATGATTGTGTCAAGTGGTGAGGGGGCAGAGCTAGAGTTGCATCTGAGAGATTAGAGGCAGGCTGCAGTGGGAATTGATGGGTTTCTTTAAGGGGTGGAAAATAGCCACACCACTTGCATTTGTGGTGGTGAGATTAGGCGGGTGTCTCCAAAGTGTGATGGGTGGCAGTACTTGCCCTTCAGAACATTTGGGTGCTGCATTCATTGTTCTTATCAGATTTGTTAAATGATTTCTGGCAATACATCTGTATTGATGTACAAATCTAATTCCAATCCTTAATATATATAAAAATCTGGATATGAAAACAGTTTTCCTTTAAGTAAAATGTGCATGTTAAAGGAATATCTACTACCCAGACTTACGATAGAAATCATTTTACAGAATTACTGGATATTCATCATTTTACAAATAAAATAAAAAAACGTTTTCTATTAAACACTGAAATGTTTGATATTGACTCCTTTCAAATGGGGGGGAAATAAATTTGTCAGGTTTTTTTCTAAGGGCAACTTATTGAGATGAAATAGATGCTACAGTTGCAAGGTGAAGAGAGTATCCAAGCAAGAGACGAAAATATAACGTAGGAATATTTTACAGGGGTGGAAATTAATGTAAAAAAATACAGCATGATCTAGGAAAAGTCACTACATATTGAGGTGTGTTTTGTATGTCCTGATGTAATACCACCAGCAGCAAAAGGAGCAATGAATCTTCTAACCCAGTGATTCTCAAACTGTGGGTCGGGACCACAAAGTGGGTGGCAACCCCATTTTAATGGGATCAACAGGCCTTAGACTTGCTGGGCCCCAGATTTAACCCAAGGCCTGAGCCTTGCTGCCCAGGGCTAACACCAAAGCTTTAGCCCCATTGCCTGAGGCCAAAGCTGAAGTCGAAAGGCTTCAGCCCTGGACACAGAGAGGCTCAAATTACAGGCCTTTGGGCTTCTGCTTTGGCTCTCCCACCTGGAGCAGCAGGGCTTAGATGGGCTCATTCATCACCCCTCCTGGGGTCATGTAGTGATTTTTGTTGTCAGAAGGGGGTTGCGGTGCAGTGAACTTTGAGAACCCCTGTGAGTCTAGCCTTATGTACAGGTACTAAACGTTTTGAATGGAACATTCTTCAGCTTGTAGCATTCCTGGTTTTCCTGTGGTGATTGTGAGAGTCCAACTCCTGTACATCTTTTCATAGATCTCATTCCTTCACATAGTTTCAGCATCCACTCTTCTGTTCAAATCTGTCTTTCTGCCACCTCCCTCTATCCAGTCTTGCTTTACAGCATCATCTCTCTTTGGATGTCTTACCACGAACTTAAATCTTATATGGCCAAAATTAAGCTCACTGTCTTTCCTCCCAAAACCTTCCCACTCACTCCTGACTTGTCACTTCACAATATGTTCTTTTTCCTTTTCCTTTCATGTGGGCCCAAATCTTGCTGGCTCTTCCTCCATAACATTTGTGAAGTCTGACCTGTTTCTTTGTACACATGCAGCAAAATCTTACGAGCCTTTCATCTCCCATTTTGACTGCAATAACCACCTCTTCTCTGGCCTACCTGACACCTGCTTCACTCCTTTGCATGCCATCCAAAGTGCAGCTGCTAAGGCATCTTCCTTGTCTGTCATTCTGTCATGCCTTCTTTGGAATCCCTCCAGAGTTGCCGCCATCTCCATCATATGAAATTCAAGTTCTCGTTCAAGACCCTTCATAGTTTGGACCTGACTGCTTATTCACACTCTTCTGTTATTATGGTGTATATTCCACTCCTTATGCCACTGTTGTCAGTCATGCGTTCCTCTCCACCACTTTCTATATGCTGCCAGATTTGGGGCAAACCCCCCGCCTCCCCATTGAATGAATTTTACATGTTACCCTGATTGCTTTCCTTGCACATTTATATCTCTCTCTCCACCTCCTCTTCTTGATTGTTTGCACTTCAGGGCAGGGTTAGTTTCTAATTATGTGCTATTACAGGAGCTAGTGCAGGGGTGGGAAAAAGGGCCTCTGCGGGCTAGATCCAGCCTGCAAAGCGAGTTGATCCGGATTGCGAGGTCCTACCTCCCCCCAGGCCAATCTGGGTCTGGGAGCGGGAGGGAAGGACATGAAGTCTCCTCATAAGAACATAACGGCCGTACTGGGTCAGACCAAAGGTCCATCTAGCCCAGTATCCTGTCTACCGATGGTGGCCAACAGCAGGTGCCCCAGAGAGGGTGGACCGAAGGCAGTGATCAAGCGATTTGTCTCCTGCCATCCCTCTCCAGTCTCTGACAAACAGAGGCCAGGGACACCATTTCTATCTCCTGGCTAATAGCCTTTTATGGACCTACCTCCATGAAATTATCTAGCTTCTCTAAACTCTGTTACAGTCCTAGCCTTCACAGCCTCCTCTGGCAAGCCTCCTCCCACCCTGCAAGGGGCTCAGTGCTTAGCAGCAGTTGGCGGTTGACTCTAAGCATGGTGCTCCCTTGCCGGGCGGGGACAAGAAGTGAGACTTCACGTGCTCACCCTCCCTAGGCCCTGATATACTTGGGGGAAGCAGGGCGGAGCACACAAAGTCTCCTCCCACCACTAGGGGAGTGGGTACCTAAAGAGAACTGCCATCTGTTCAGAACAGTTGGCAGCTCTCTCTATGGAGGGGCAAAGACTTTGAGTGCTCCCCTTCCTCCAAACCAAGCAGGGTCTGTGGGTGGGAAAACCTGGAAGTGTCCTGGCCCCACCCCTTCCACCTGAGGACCTGGACCTTCCAGGCAGCCCGGGGCCACTTCAAAAATTTCTAAAGTTGCCCCTGGTCAAAAATTATTGCCCACTGAGCTAGTGCATTGGGATCTATTTCCTGCTTGGGGGTGTTACTGCTGTGTAAATGAGTAGCAGCTGGACTAAGAAAAGCCTAATTTCTTTTTTTTTTTTTTCTTTCTTAGGGAAAAGCAATTGGAGTGACCATTGGCTGCCTTTTAGGAATGTTTCCTTTGTTCTTCTTTGGAGATGAAGAAAAAAAAGTGGAAGAGAAAAATTAACCTTTTTACAAATACAAAAAAGTGTAAACTAATGTACCTCAATTATTCAGTTATGCTGTCAGAATATTTAGGAATTAACAGACAGTAACAATGTATAGACTTGGGAACAAAACATTCAGCATGTTGTTTTATGGATACACTAATTTATTGTGGCTCTGTCTAATTTAGTACATCTTTTTATAAGATACCATTTAGATTTTTATTTAATGTAAATTGTTGAAATGTTTTCATTTATAATAGCAGCTAATGTTTACCAATTCCCTCTCACCTTCGTCCTGTAACAGGATTAGTAATACATTGCCTGCTCTGGATGTACTGTGTAGATTTTGGGGTTCCACAGTTGCTGCCTAACTTGTAAATGCATGCCAAAAAAGGGTCCTAGCTGCTCCTCAGGTCCTCCAATCCAGACTATCAGTGAAGCCAGTTGGCAGATGATTGGAATGACATCACTAAGTATTTTTGCAGGTATTTTTTTTGTCCTCTGAGCCACCATTTCACATTGCCTCAGTTTAGGCCTGTTTCGGCTACCCACTACTACTTGGTTTGCTCTCCTTCACAGTTCTAGCTAATGTTACTTGCAAGCAGTGCTCGACAAACTATAGAATCTACTCGCCTGTGGTGAGTATATTTCAGCCGCGCGCCCCGTTCACCGGCGGCGTGTGCATGCACAATGCGGGTCTTGCGCAGTATGGGACTGGAAAGCGGTTTTCACTGTCGTTTGTCAAGACCTGCTTACAGGCTTACATTTCTTGACAAGGTGAGCGTTGTTAGTGGTGCCTCATCCTTTAGAGTTATTATATAGTCAGCCAGGTTTGGTTTTTTTTTTTTTTTTTTCCTGAAGCAGTATTTTAAGAATCAAATTTCTTCTTGTTTGTGTGTCATGGGGAACGAGAGCTAATTGGAGCTGCTACACATAGGGATGTTAAATTTTGATTAATAGGCTAATTCAGTAGTTGATAAGAGCGCCTCCACCTTTGCAGTGTAGCAACAGCCCCAGGGCTGTTGCTACACTTCAAAGGCAAAAGCAATGTGGGGAGCACGGGGCCTGTGGGAGACTCAAGCAGTCCCCCACTGGCCCCGGGCTCCACACGGTGCTGCTTCTTTGAAACACGCCCTCTTCCCTCCCCCGCCTTGCTGCCTCTTTCTGATATAGGCAACAGGGCGGCGGGGAAGCGACTAGTCGTTCACATCCCTAGCTACACAAACTAATGGCCTGTAGAGTGCACAAGAGCTCTGCTCCACTGCCCATTGGCTGGGTAAGGCTTGAGGGCTACAGGAGAGCTACTGCTCCCACATCTGCCTATGTGCCTTTGCTCTCCCTTTCTGAGACTTTTTATCATCAATTGTGGCTCTGAGCTTCTGGCCCCTGACATCAAACTACCCACTCTGGCTCCAACCCCTCTCTTATTTTAGGAGTCTTCTGGGATGGGCCCTGGTGGCCAGCCCCTCCCCTCCATAGGTCTTCAGTACCTGGCTGACTCCCCATCTCTAGTCTTTAGGGAGCTGCGAACAAAGAACCCACTGTCTCCCAAATCCCACAGATCCCCCAGGTCTTTAGAGACAGGGACATGGCTGCCTCCTATGCACTGAGCTCTGCTGGCTCTAATTCTACTAGCCAGGAGCGGTGTTTCCATACCCATGTGATGGGAAACACCCTGTTGTAGCAAAATCCTCCGATGGAGGTTGAGCTGTCTTCAAATGCTGGGACAGGAGCCAGCTGAGTTTAGTGCCGGGCCATGTCTGGTGTGGAATAGGGAATGGCCCCCATTTGAGTCCCCCAAACAGTAGGGCTCATGGGGTGGAAGGCTTTTGGGGAGAGTTCGTGGGGAGACAGGAAAGGAATAAGGAACCATAGGCCTGGAATGTTTAATGGGAGGGATGGAACTTCCATGCGTAGAACATCCATCCTTGTCCTGGGCTGTCTATAAACAGTGAAACCTGTGGTAGGCGCTCTCTCCTCTTGTGCAACATGAGAGCTGGCTTGGATGGAAATACTAGATTAGTTTTCTGGGTCATGGAATGACAGCATAGATTGAATTGGAGATGGGGTGCCAGCGTGTATATTGTGAGTAACGTGTTCGGCACAGCTGGGCAGAATTTACTTGGTTGTATGGAGTGGACATCTATGCATGTACACACGTGAAGCTGCATGCATAGAGTGAGTATGTAGAGTGAGTGACTGTGTGTGTGTGTGTGTGTGTGTGTGTGTGTGTGAGTATGCAGAATGAGTGGAATGAATGTGGGACATTGGTGGTAGAGTAAGTTGTCTGGGTAGCATGTGTGTTAGGCGTATGCGTAGAAAGATGAGATGGAGTGAAAGTGGGTGTGAGAGGAATGCAGCTAGGGGGGTATGAAGTGGGCATGGATAGAACAAATGTCTCTGTGAATGCATGCGTATTTAGGTAAGTTCGTGCAAATATAGTTTGTTTAAACTCTATTGGATTTTTTTTTTTTTAATTTGCAAATGTTTGCAGGCACAATTTAGAAATTCAGTATGGTAAATTTGTCTTTCTCTTGAAAGCTATCTTAAGATGAATGAGTGCTCATGCCAAAAATGCTTAAAAGGTGGTCTCAAGTCTTCTCTGATAGTCAAATAGAAGTAAAAAAAAAAATTAGTCTGGATTAGATGATCTGATTTGCAGAATATAATTCACAGTTAAAACTAGACCTTTGTTTATTGCTTTTTGCTGTGAAGGCATTTGGAAAAGCATATTTCCCCCCTTTTTTGCCTTATTACTTTTACTCGACGCCCTGTATATAATTTTGTTTGTGAGTGGTGATTTATAGTTGCAATTACCATATTAAATATTTGTAAGACTTTAGTATATGACCCATTAATTCTATAATTATGAATTTGTAATAGTTAGAGAGGACCCTCTCTATGTACAATATGGAAGAAGACACCTAGAGCAGAGCTTAGGGCACTTTATTTTGGCAGCCCTGTATCCTTAGAAAGCTGAGTTTTTCCAATCTAGAGAAATATATTAATAGTTGCATTAAATTCCATGAAATAACATGTTTTGTTTGCTTTAGGAAATTCCTTATTGGTGTAACATGTTTGATTAGCAGTTCGTCTCCTTGGTTGTAAATGTCATCTCCCTCTTGACCACTTCCAAAGTCCCTGCCACAGTAGTATTGACCCTTTAATACTAATAGATGAAGAAGGAACATGACTTTTCATAAACTTTTCGTTAGAATCCCCATAGTATATGATACAGTTTGAATGTCCCTTGTAGTAAGATAGTATAGCTATCCTTCCTATATAAGTTTGTCTTTTTACGTGGTGCTTGGATGCTTTCAAATTTATCAGAACAATTTGATTTTTTCCCCTTTGCATATGTATTCAGTTCACAAAAAAACTTTTCTTCTTTTGACTACTGTTCTTCCCTGTTGTTTTCATGACACAGCTATAATTAGTCTTTTGTATTTTTTTTAAAATGGAGATCTCATAAAACACATTTTGGATAGCAGTCTGACTGTTTTTACAGTTTTACTGTAAATACATTATTTGACTATAGACATGACATCATATCAATTTATGGGGATCCTCTAATATTTATCAAAGTGTTATTTGACTATAGACATGACATAACATCAATTTATGGGGATCCTCTAATATTTATCAAAGTGTAATACGTTGCTGAAAATACCCCATACTCTAATGTATGGTACTTTGCACAAAGTCGTTTCAGCAGTGTTTTCCATTACAATATCGGCATTTAAATCTTTGGGCAATACTCAAGGTTCAGTACTTCACTAATATTAAAATCGGAACACTAACTTTGTTCTCATTATTTTTGAGTGCTTAAGAACAAATCAGTAGCTAAATGTCAGCTGTTGTAATAGTGGTCATTTAAAAATGACAATATTAAGTCCATGTGCTATTGTTTATTTGTGCATGTAAGTTGAGTGCATTTTGTTGATACTGTATGGTAAACTATGTACTACAACCAATGTTTTTAACAAAAAAAGATGAACTTAAAGATCTTCAAACATGTTAATGTGTTTTTGTTTTAAAACTATTGAGATGGCCCTGAAAAAGTATAATGGTCAGGCAACACATGGTTGGAAACAGTGTTAGATGTCAGATCAGCTGTGGACAGGAAAATCATGGAGGTGATATCCTAGATCTCCAGAATTTTGAGAAAGGAATAGTTAGTACTATGGGTGAAATCCTACCAACTTTGTCACCAATGGAAAAGATCTCACTATTTTCAGTGGGGCTAAACATCATCCTTTATGTGGCATAGCTCAACAAGGCTACAGGATTAACCCTTGTGTACCTCCATAGTGAGGAAATAGGGTATCTGCCCAGATCCAGAATGAGGGATTTGTGGCAAATTGGTATTGTACTTTTAGCAATTCAACAAGGGCAATCTCGAGTTCTCTGGCTCTGGTCTTAAAAACAGAGATTTGAAAAGATGAAGCATATAACAGGAGAACTACCATGTTGTCCCTACAACATTTTTAGGAGACTTTGTTCTTACTCCATTCATTTATTTCCATCAGTTTTGTACTATATGTAAAATGGGCCTATATCATCAAAAAATTGGAAGAGATGAAATTGTTTATATTCTGAAATGTGTCTTTTTGATTGTAACTTTAAATTTCATTATAATTCAAGTGCTTGTTGTGGTTTGTTCTTTTTGTTTCCTTTGCCCATGGTAGATTCAGGAAATTTTTTTTAGAAATAAACAGTGAAGAGCATGCATTTGATAGCATAGTATGTGCCAAACAGGGAAATATCTCTTAATTTTTATGAATATTGTGCATAACTCTGCGTGTTGGATACATTACTTACTATGGGGCAAGATCAAAATGGTTGTTGGAGGAACCAAACAGGAAAAGGAAAACCAATGACCTAGATAAGGAATGTCCATGCAAACACTCAAATATAGTAGATAGGTTATTAGTTGTAAAGAAGCGACTTACATGATGCCAACAAGGTTACGCAGCCGTTTTGCTAGGGCCGAAGAGAAAGACAGATCAAAAGACATAATTAAATATCTGACACGCTGATAGACTGAGGCAAAGAGTGTGTGAAGATATGAACTAACTCTGAGGCTGGATCTACCTCCGCTATGG